TACTCAGTACCAAATCTAACAAAAGTTTTTACAGGGTTGAATAAGGCAGGCCTCTATACCTGTGATAAATAGCAGGTTCTTATTTTTCAACTGTGATTTTGAGATTGCACAAAAAAGTTTAGCCTGATTCATAATTCGTATCTGAGTTAATACAATTTTATAACTGGACACAGCAAATCACTGTTAAGTGAAGTATGAGAATGAAATGTAAATTAACGCAACCAAACAGATAGTTTTCTTCTTATATCAGAATGAGGATTGGATCAGCTTCTTCTAAAAGAGAAAGAAATCGATGCTCAAACAATCTTCAGCCTTATTGAGGTCAGAGTTATTTGTTTTTTATGGGAGTTCACAGCCGTAAATAGGTTACAGTTCCGTGTGCTCATTAGCTAGTGGTAATCATAACTTCTTGTAACGATTACGTATCTTAGTAACTTCTTAGTAACAAGTTACGATTAATTCAAAGCTGTACCTCATGCCCTGCTACTGGGATCAGAGCATGATATATTGATCAAATAAAATTAACCGAACGTTCTTTGCTTTGAATTACCTACATAGAACCTATGTAGTAAGGAAACGTATTGCGATAGTCGGAAAATTTCAAATCCGATTTTTCAACAGAAATATATGTTACAAGGTCTGAATAAAAAAAAAAAACACGTCTCACAAAAATGTGAGCATGACAAAAAACTAGCGCAAAAAGCCATGCGAAACGGAAATTGCATACGCAAGTTAGATATACACCCGAGATGTTATAGTAACTTTTTCGTCAAAATCAAATAAACGAAAATGTTATTTTATTACCCGACTAAGGGAAACGAAACCGAGGGTTTATGTGGTTGGGTCTTCCGCTAAAAGCTATGTAACGATTTTTGGAGCGAACGGCAAAAACGACTCAAAATATTTTTATTAAACTCTCGTTATAACGATGTAAAATTGAATGATCTTTAATATCAACTAAGTGTTAACCTTGAAAGAGTTTAATACCGAATTTTCAAGATTTCTTTCTCCAAACAATTTTCCAACTTTTGTTTAGGTTAAATTAATTTTGTTAAAAATGATTAGACTTTTCTAATTGCTATTAGTATTACAAAATGGAAAAACATGAACTATGAAACAATTTTATAATTATCTAAAGGGAAAAATTGAACAAATATCCTCTCAGATAAAAACAAATTTTTGGAAATAAGATTAGTATATAGATGTATGATATACAGTTAGATCTCTAAAGATTTTGGAAAATTAATATCTAGCATAGTGACTGAAAGCTAATGAATTGTTAATTTTAGATGAATTGTAACTAGAAAAAATTAATAGTGACAGGATTAGAGAAAGACATACAGCACTTAAAAAAACCATCAAATCACATGACTATAGCAAAACAATATTCGATGAAAATAATATGAATTTAATGCAGGAGATATAGTTTTTGTAAAAAATCGAAACAATCTAAACAGGAAGAAGCTAGAAAAACTGAAAATTGGACCATATATGGTAATTGATTTTTTTTTTTACTCAATATAAAAAATAAGAAAGAAAAAACTGAATCGAATCTTTTTCATATAACATAACTTATTCCAATCCATGCATTAAAAAAAAGAAGAAGAAGATTCCGGAGAATATGAGTGATGTCACCGAAAAAGTGAAAAAGTTTCTTGTCGTGTTGGGAGGGGGGCGGGAGGAGGAGAGATGTAAAGAAAATATATGATTGGCACCATATCAATGGCGGACATCTGCCTTCCACATAAAGTTGAGAAAAAGCCAATTTTTTTTTTTATAGTTTTAACTCAAACTGCTTCTGACGAATTTAAGAATGTTCAAGTGGAATCATGAAAAAAAAAAATCATTAGAATTGAATTATATTGAAACTATATTACAAAAATTGAATTTTTCTGATTTTTTTTTAAATGACAGATGCCCGCATTTGATTTTAGGCCACTTATATTTCCTTTATTATTGAATATTGTCGAGCTCCACGCAGGTTATTTTTGATGGAATATAAAAATTTACTTTTTTCTTTACAGAAAAGCATAAAAAACTGTTCTTTCTTTATGATTTCTTAATATAATTTCATATTTTATTTATTTCTGCTATTAGACTACTTATAGCTATTACAGACTACAAAATGTCAGTTTTAGCTCAAAAGAAAAAATATTTAAAATGGTTACACACCACCTTTTACACAATCAGTAGTGATATGTCAATTATTAACATTGTTATGACTATGATAACATATTTTAATACGGATTATTAAAAAAAAAAAGTGAATTCAAAGGCAGGAGAAAAAACTTTGAATGTTGTTTCTTCGGGTGGGGGGAGGTATAAAGCAACGCAATTAAGTTCTTTTTTTTTTTTTTTGGTCAATCCAGTGTTCACATATAATTAAAGCAATGTTCTTAATGTTTATTAACTTGAAAATAATTTTACTGAAAGAAAGATGATAAGTGAACGTTGTACTGTACCTTTTTTTTTCTACATTCTGATTACTTATTCTCTGCAACGTTCGCCAGCATAAAATCCATCCATGACAAGACTACGTTGGACATACATGCATTCCGAGAATTATATTTACAGTCAGTTCAATCAATATTCCCGAGGGTGAATGTATCGTTGTTTAAATGATCGCATAAGCAAACGTTAATAAAATTTTAACAAGTCAATCAATGGATCCGCTAATTAGTGGTTAGTCTTTCCGATTCCTACACGGACAACTTTTTTTTCCCTCTAGTTCTGAGAAATCTTCACAACCTGTCTTTGCGTCCAAGAAGATGATATAAGAAAATGAAGAACACTACCTAAGAGTTATTCGAAATAAAGTATTTGTTCGGAAAATTCGGGCTGATATTTAATTATACCAATTTTACTGTTTTAAATTACATTAAATATAGGTATTTTCCCATTATACACATCTTCTTCTCTAAAACCAACGAAAAGATCGTATTTTTATTTCACTTTCACATAATTTTGGAGACGAGTGAAAGGTTAGTAGGTGAGCTATTCGCTTGACCTATAAAACTAGAAAAGTAAATGTTATTTTTTTTTTTTACAACGACCAATATAATTGAGTATATACAGGGTGTTTCGTTATTGCACGGCACTATTTCAGGTATGTGTTCACTAAAACGAAGCAAACAAAAAAGTTCATACATATATTTCAAATTCATTTATTAAACAGATATCAAAGGTTAAAGATTTATTATGTATTTACTATATTAAGACTTTCTGTACAAAGTTTAACGTGTTTAATACTAAATAACAGGCCTTAATCACCTGATAAACAAATGAACGATAAGCAATGAGAGTAGTTGCTCATCTGTTTGTCTAGTTCTGTGTGTTTTAGTGTGAGTGAATACTGTGACACAGTTCAATTTATGATTAACATGGGAGACATCATAAATTTATCCACTTTTGCAGAACAAACAGACATGCTATTAACTTATGGCGAGGTACATAGAAACGGTGTTGCTGCTGTTCGAAGATATCTAGAAAAATTTCCTAACCGAAGAATACCAAATCGTAAAACGTTTGAAGCCATTGAAAGATGGCTGTTAAATGGCCACCACGATCTCCGGATTTAACGCCATTAGATTATTTTGTATTTTTTACGGCAGTTTACACGCGAGAAGAGCTAAGAAATCGGATCGTGGAAGCCGCAGTAACTATCAAGCACCATCCTGATGCTATACGAAGAGCAGGAGAAGCATGGATTCGACGTGCTGAATGTTGCATTCAACATAACGGAGGCCCCTTCGAACAGTTAATCTAAATGTTGTAATAATAATAAATAAATACTAATAATAAATAATAAATCTTTAGCCTTTGATATCTGTTTAATAAATGAGTTTGAGATATGTGTTAATATGAACTTTTTTGTTTATTTTGTGTTAGTGAACACATACCTAAAATAGTGCCGTGCAATTACGAGACACCCTGTATATAAACAGAAGATGAGTAAATTTCTAGGATAAATTATTTTATGAACACGACTTACTATTTATAAATTATTTTATTTTCCCCGCGAATAGACTCTGAGACACGAACTATCATCGGGCACACTTTAACTTAATGGATGAGTATCTTATCATTCAATCGGCTCGGGGAAAATTTGGCGATTTAGAATGATAGAAAACTCTCAGTACGACGACTTCTGACGTCAGTATGGTTTAAAAGATGTTAAAAAGTGAAAGATAATTCTAAATATATATTAATCTTAAGCCACAACAATCCTAAACGTTAGATAATTTTACCCTGGTATGGTGAGTTATACATCGATGAGCTGACAAAATAAGCAATATAAATATTTTTTTATTGAGTAATAGAATATTCTGTCAAATTGACAATAATTATAGTGAAGTAAGACTACATTCACATTATATGTACAGAAAATAAAAAATAAACGGAAGCAAAATAACATCTAAATATACAATAAATAAATAAAAATAAAATAACTTACAGATAATTAAATTAAAAAACAGACATACCTAAAATAAAATATAAAAATTAAAGCTAATGTTTAGAACCGAAATATATATCATTCAATATTTTAAAGGCTAGGAAATAATTTAGCCAGTCTTATCAATTTTTCGAATGACATGCAAACTACGTAGAAAATAACACCTATTATAGATCTGAGCATTTTAATGTTGTGATCAACTTTCTCACATTAGGAGCAATTAGGGTCCATTAGAGTTATTATTTTTCACATTTGCACTTAGAAAGAATTCAAAATTATGCCTAAAAGGTGTGAGAATTAAGACCAAGCGTTGCAGTTATTTGAATGAGAAAAAGTTCTAAAATAAACAATGCGTTGGATTTTCCAGACAATCAGATCTTCAGATCGAGGAAAATGAAAAAAAATAACTAATGATATGAACGGAATAAATGATCCTCAAAATTTATTTGATATGTAGTAAAATATAACAGTTGATTAGGGTAGGTTCAACAGAGCACATTTATTGCCCATTGTCTTTCAAAATTAGGATTCAAAGCACGCGAAGAATATGGGAGGATTGGCAACCTCAAGATTAGTCACTTCATTATTCGTAAGTAATTTATAATATATAATATGTACAATATATAATACTTAATATATAAACTTGCCGTTTGTTGCTCCATTTTCAGAATTGCTAATTTCGTGTAATAGTGAAGTAAAAAATTCTTGACGACATTTTAATTTCAATTAAGGTAAAAAATATGAGCGTTTACGTTAGCTTTTGAAGCTGAGGTTGAAAAGAATTGATGAAATCCAGTAGGTTGACATATGGAGCAATATCTCTGAAAGTGTAGATATGTTTTTTTTTTTTGGTTTTTTTTTTCATTTTAATGGTCCAAGATTTCCGTGTAAGTCCTTCCTATACTGCCCACAGACATGTTTACGTATTTACTTACGAATGTGAGAGCGGAAAAATTGATTTTATTGAAAAAAGATAAACATGCTATTGTTATAAATATAAAATTTGTGCCTAATTTCTAATGATATAAACAAATAAGAATTAACAATTTTAAACTCATTCATATATATATTTTTTTTACCGAATTAAATTAAAAAGACCCCACTGAATCCATCAAGAAAGTCTTTGGATGTCATGGAGTGGTGATTTTTTTTATTTTTTACCTACATTTTAGAGGTTGTGAGTGGTTGGATTTTCCAATTATCACCATACAGTTATAAGTGAATAAAAAGTAAAATGTTAGTAAAAAAATAACGAATACCTAGAAATATACTTATAAAACTTCTTTGATAAAAAACAGCACCCATAATAAAAAATACAACTGAAAATCCTGACTATTATAATCCATGATAAACTTCAAATTTAAATGATCTCTACATTGATTTAATATTTTTTGTAATATATATGTACACATATATATGGGCCTGGTTTACCTCTAAATTGCAATCCAGAAAAACTAAAACAATTGCTTTTTAGAAGAATGCGCTTAAAATAGTTTTGCACTATATTTAGTTTAATTTTGATCATCCTTCTAGAAAGATGTCACACCCTAAAATAAATCATAAGTCATACCCTAAAAAAATGTGTGGCTGGTTATGCCCTTATGTATATATTTGAATACAATGGTTGACAAGTCGTTTATATTAAGGCAGGTCTCTCCTCGATGATATATTGCTCTACCCAGCACAATTTGTCCCCTGCCACCAAAACACGAAGTGGACAAGAGATCACCTCTTGTACAAGACGCCTCGGACGCGTTACTCAGATATATGTTATCTTCAATATAACGTTATCGGCTCAACAATAAGACCTCGAGGGGAACGCACCTCAAGGGAGGACGGAATGCGGCCGTTGAAGGCAGGTAAAGATTGCTGCTCGTCTTTTTTGTTCCGGCCTGGTTCTAGGTACGGCCTCCCAGCGGCTTCTAGCGGCGTACTCTCTCTAATCTGTCTTTTGTGGTTACTTCTCAATGGGATAATGCTATTTGTAACAATTAGAGCCATTGTGGACGGTCCCGAGGTGTCAAAGGCCATCATTTATCCTAAAAGGTACGGCTGTATAGCAAAAAATGTCCTTGTAGGAACAACAGGACACTTTGGAATTCCATAGCTTTCTATACTTTTTTTTGTAATATTTATTTTATAATATATTTTTTAGAAGCTGCTCAACAATTGTAACAATTCTTATTTTATATTATCTTTTTAAGAGGGTTTTCATTTATTTTAATACCTCTTAAAGTTCAATTGTCCAAAAAATAATTGTCTGGTAATAACGATTACATTTTTTATCGAGTGAATGTTGTAACCGCTATTGCAGTTGTACAGGATTCTTAGTCCGTAGTACAGACTCCTTTTCATCAAATTATTAACATCCGGCTGAAACTTCGTGAGCAGCTTCATCTCATCGTAACCTACAAATATTTTTTTTATTTTTTTTTTATTATTGAAATTTACAACTGTATAATGATAAATATAACTAGTAAATATGAAATAAGAAACTTGACATGTACAACATGAAGAGAAACTACCCATTGGTAGCACTCCAATTATATTTCTATATTAGAACGTCCCGAGATCATCTTCTTTTCAGACGGCTCGGAGGGTTATCAGGAATAGAAGAGGAAGCAAAGTTGGTAACAAGAGGGTTCGGATGGTTCAGAAGTTTATTATGGAAGGAAAGGTATCTGGATTGGGCTAAATCGGAAACATATGTTACATTAAAATCGTTATGGATGATTTTGTTTGTGACAAAGTAGGGAGCATTGAGGGTTTTACGAAGGATTTTGGATTGGACACGAGAGGAATTTGATGGTTTAGTAGAGCCCCAAAGCTCCCGTTAGTCCAAATAGGCCTTATTATAGTAACATATATGAGTCTTTTGTAAATAGTGGGAAGTTAAGAGCGTTTGTCCAGTAAGTGCTGCAGTAGTCGAAAACGTCTAGCGGTTTTTAGTCGTTTCAGTATGGTATGGGGGTACAAATATTTTATTTACGAAAATTCTCGAAATTAGGGCGTTTTCAAAATGGAGATCGGCAAAATTTGTCTATTTAATTTAGTCGAGAAAAAAAGGTGGTCTACAAAAATATTTAGCCATTTGGCGCGACCTACACCCCGCAATTGTCAAAATAACGAAGTTATATAGGTCAAAGGTTCCTCGAACTTGGTGCTCAAGTTATCTTACGATTAAAGTGGAAAGCAAAGGGGTATTTACGAGTTTTTAGTACCTAATTAAATAGACAAAATTTGCCGACCTACAGATTGAAAACGACGCAATTTCGAGAATTTTCGTAAATAAAATATTTGTAGCTTACAATGAGATGAAGTTATTAACGAAGTTTCAGGTTGGATGTTAATAATTTGATAAAACGGTCTATACCACGGACTATCCGCAATGCACTCTAGTGCACTCAATTCTTTATCACATATGATAAGGATAGGACTGGGTAACAAATACAATTATGTATTACCTTTGTAGGATATATTTGTATGAATATCACATATCACTGATCTTATCACGGGTGATGGGTAGTCAGGACGCAATCAGTTTTTCTTATTTTTATTGCTTATTATGCAGACAATGTTATTTTAAGTCATACGAGTCATAAAAACTAATCCTCTACTCTAGTAACGAGGGATTGGTTGGATGAACAAGGAGAAATCTTTTGCGTAATCCGGAAACTTTAAATATCTTAAACTATTTCAGTAACAGTTGGCAGAAATAAGATGTGGGAAGGCTATCTCAACAACGAGAATGCTTTGCATTTGGCCCCAGTCGTAAAAGATACGGCGTCCTCCAGGGGCGACCCAGATACCCTTTTATATCTGGATATGCTTCGGAAACTCTGGCGCTACAAAGCGAGTGATATGTGGAACAGTGATACATCCGACTAGTAACTTTATTTTATTATCACTTCATGGCCTATAATAAATCACTAACGTATTTTAAATTTTAAGATTCCATACCGAAGATTTTCATGCCGAAAATATTTCGATAAATTATTTTTAAAAACCAAAGAATGACATACTGGCAAAATTTTTTTCATTTATTTTTAACATGGAGAGAAGTATAAGTGTTTTATAATATTTTACCGTCTGGCATAAATACATTATGTATTTTTTAAATCAACCAATTATTATTAATTTAAAACAATAATGATGTGACAAATATTTGATTTTTTGACAAATGGTGACACATCAAAAAAAAGAAAGGTAAATAATTGTACAATAGATGAAGTAGAATGATATTGTTAAAAAAAAAGTTAGTATAAAATGTGCATAATTTCAGTGAAGATAAAGATTGCTCTGATGATGGGAAAATTGTCCCGAAACGTTAGAGATAACAAATGTAATTAAAAGAATTTGAAGGAAATTGGAAGTATTATTGCCTTAAATATGAAAAAATTATAAAAGTAGGGTTCCTAATAAAAAAAGAAAAATATGAAGAATGTTATTCAATTATTTTTAACATGGAAAGAAGTATATGTGTTTTATAATATTTTAACATATGGGGCATAAATACAAAATTTATTTTTTTAATCAACCAATTATTCTTAATTACAAAAAAATGCATCATAATATGCTAGTGTTTTTCATCCTAAAAAGAATAATACATTTTAGAAAACTAAGATGGACAGGATGTAGTCTGTGGGTCACTGATTTCAACCAAATATTTTTTGGTGATGTATAGAAAAATATTAGACATGTGTCCTGGGGTTCTTTCCAATGGGCCTAGAAGAAGAGAAATTTTTTTTAAATATAATTTCTAACAAAATATATGTTATTTGTTTTGTCTGTATTTTTAGGATATTATATATCAATCGATTTTTTTTTTTTTTTTTTTTTTTTGTGCAGAATAAGAAAAGAAATACTTACTATTGTATTTAATGAGTTACAATGTATTAATAAATTACAAAAACAAAAGCCGCTTCCAGTAAAATAGGCGAAACAAATTTTTGTTATGAAAAAACATGTTAGATTTGTTTTTTAGTGTCCTTTGAAACTCTTAAATAAAATTTTTTATATAAATCAAAAATTTCAAAATTTAGTACTTGATTTTTTTTTAGCCAATAACTAAAGATTCAGAATTTCTCAGGATTTTCTCCAAATTCAACGTTCGTACTACTATTCAAAAGATGAATTACTACCCTTCCAGTCAACATCGATGACTTTTAGAATTTATACCATTTTAAATTAGAGATTAAGAAAAACTTCCCAATCATTTTTATGCATTCATTTTTTATCTTTGATTCCAATTTATTTGCGGAAGTCAATTTTGCACCGTTACGTGTAGCATACAAAACTCTAAATCCCTATTAATTTTTGCATTGATTGGTGAAGTCGTTCTAAAGTTATCACAAGTTTTGTGGTTGTTGATGAAATTTCGAAGCGACTACCTATCAGCGGTGATAAGATCAATGATAAATGATATTCATCCAAATATATCCTACAAAGGTAATACATAATTTAGTATTTGTTACCCACTCCTATCCTTATCAGATGTGATAAAGAATTGAGTGCACTAGCGTGCATTGCAGAATCCCGCACGACAACATTACAACATTCACTCGATACTCATTTAAAGAAATGTATGTATTCGTTACTACAAGGCAGTTATTTTTTGGATCATTGTACATTAAAAGGTATTAAAATAAATGAAAAACCTCTTAAAAAGGTAAAATAAGAATTATTATAATTGTTGAGCTGCTTCTAAAAAAAAATATTATTTTAAACCTTATATTTTAAAACATCTTTTAATATTAAATCTAGCAAAAAAAAAAAAAAAATTCACGTATCAAACACTCGAAACAAAAATATACTAACATATTTTTTTTATAATATAAATTGAAATATGGTAAAACTGGCATAATCAGTAAACGCACCCAGATTAATTTTGATTATTTTTTTTTTAAATAAATAATAATATTTTATAAATACATATTTTTATCTGAAATGCTCCGATAACCAAAAGAACAAGGACAAACGTAAGTAAATAAGCGTTATCGAGATAAAGAACTCAAAAAAAATTTCTCTTGCAAGGATTTTTTCAATGCTATATAAAACTTGTTATATTTAACTAACATTTTTTATTAACAGAATAACCGAAGACATCGCACAGAAAACATATAAAATATAATTAAAATTAAATTTATGATAATATACAGTAATATCAGACAAATATGGATTTAATAAATGATTTATGTATCATTAATAATATACATTAACTGATCATGAAAATTAAGAATTATTAACTGCATGCATTTTTTATTTTTTGTTGGTAATGAAAGTGGTAAATAATCCATATATTTTTGACACTCTAAAATACAGACTTGTCTATTATTTTTTTAGTTAAAAACTAATCAAAGGATTTAATTAAAATTAATTATTTGAATAAATTATATACACCCGATGTCAACAACTTTGACTGTAATATTTCCAGTATGTAAGGAAACGTGATTTTTAAATCTAAATTAATCTAGGTTAATGAAACATTTCCTGTTTGCTAACAAAAAACCTGTTATGTATGTAGTTATGAAGAAATTTATTTTCAAAATTGTTTAAAATGCTAAGCGACTTAATAATATTAAATACCAAAATAAAGTACCTCATGACCTCATACCGTGTTAACGTCACATCTGCTATCTTTGTGGCATGGAGGAAAACCGTTTACTCAAAGTCAAAGGAATCTTGTAAATATTGTGTTAAAAAAGAAACGAGGTTATTTCTCAACCGAATCTGCGTTTTCTGACTCCTAATGCCATTACCTAATTATGTATTTTTACATTATATCTCCATGTGGGGTTCTCTATTTTCAAAGGTAAAAATTAATTTTATAACAACTAAAAAAATAACCAACAAGTTTTTCCGATTTAAGAAAATGAAAAAAATAAAATTAATTCCACATTATTATTAAAAGTTTTTAAAATGCCTCGTCTCTTAACTAGCAATAAATAAAATAAATAATCTGAGAAGGAGTTGATCGGGGGGTGCGGTCAAATTAATACTAAATTAAACAAGTATAATTATTTCATTTTTGCAGACGTTTCGACCCACTTTGCAGGTCTTCATCAGGGCTACAAAGATACAAAACATGGTGAAAATTAAAAAATAATCAATAAAGGATTTATGAAATATAATGTTTATTAGTTTGTTATACACTCATTCCTTATCTTTTATCGCAATCTGTTTACCTTTAACTTATATGCTATATTCTCCTTTATTTTCTATTTTTATTCATACTTTTTTTTTCCATTTTTGTTTGTATCTTCTACATATAATACTTGATATTTTAACTACATTGTCATCCACTATATATACTTATATTAATTTATTTTCACCATGTTTTGTATATTTGTAGCCCTGATGAAGACCTGCAAAGTGGGTCGAAACGTCGGCAAAAATTAAATAATTATACTTGTTTAATTTAGTATTGATTAGACCGCACCCCCGATCAACTCCTTCTCATATAATATCAACGGTCAACCATCTCTACACCATTAAAAATAAATAATCGTTCAATCATCATCAGAACAGAAAAAGAGAATATCACGTTAATTCTGACGAAAGACAGTATATCACAAATTAATAGTCAAAAAAGGCACACCAACTAGAGCTAGAACATCACTTCAAGACATCTCGGCACATTTGTTTCTGCACTTTTTATTAAAAAAACCTAAATTAAATTTTTTTAAATTACTCTAAAGGCGACAAGTTGGGAGGGAGCAATTCCCTCTTTCTCTTTCTTAAAACAAAAATATTGTGTAGAAAATATCTGTAATAAAATACCAACAAGTATACATAACAAATTTCTAAATAATTGATTGAAAATCACAGATTGACGGTTAATAAAAATAATAGATAATAGGATAATAGGGAAGGAAAATAATTAGGAAAACTCCACTAAAATAGAGAAATTTCCTCCTTCTATTTTGAGCTAGAAATATCCTTGAAAACGTAATTGTTGAAATATAGAAAGAGTTGTTCGAAGCTCCTAGCTTATTACTCTATTCAACTTTACTCAAGGTTGAATTGTTTTATCGTCATTAAAGTTAATGTACACTACCTTACAACATTGAACCACTGAGAAGGAAATATATTAATATCGGATGATTACATACCAAAGAAACTAATCTCTTTTTATTACTGACGGTAGCCAACGTGACCAAGTATCGATCTCATAAGAACCAGTTGCTGAATGACTATAAGTATATCCAAGATACACGAATATAAAAGTACAGAAGAGAATAGCTTAAATAAGATCTTGCGAAAACAAAAAAAATAGATGTATAGAAATATTTGCGAGGCATATTTAATTATATCGTATGCTATCTGCGAATTACGGTAAGTAGAAAAATAATATTATGCGCCTTATATTATTATTTTTTAGCTTATGTTGGTATGCCAATAGAACACGTTGTATGTTTCATAACATATGTGTGTAAGTTAGAATCAAGGATGCCCATAAGGAGGTTATATTGCGCAAGTAGCGCTAACACATTTTTGAGTCTGGCGCTATTTTGTAGGGTTTTGAATTTTTGAGAGTGGCAAATGTTTACAGGGTTATGAATTTTTTAAGGCAACCATATTTATGTGGAGTCTCAATTTGAAGGGGGTTTAAAGAGAATATACAGTTAACAGAAACATGGAACAGACCATAAAAAGAGTAATTCTAATTTCTCTTGCACTGTTTTAATGAAGATTTCTTAGGGGGGAGTAGAAAGAGAAGTGAGGGTGGCTATGAGTTATCGACTAGGGGGATGGGCAATCATGGTTAAAATGTAGAGTTTGTATTAGTACATGGTATAGTGTTTTAAAAGTTTATCACAGAATTACCTGTTTTATATATCTAAATATACGAGTAGATTTTGCCTTTAGAGAGTTTAAGCTCATAAGCA